ACGCTTAGGTTTTTATATACAAATGGTGCCATGCTGCAGTTGGCTTAAGCAAGCCTAAAACTACATTGTCTCTGAAGGAGGCTGCCCTCCCCTTTTTGTGTCGGTGCCTGTATTCACATGGTTGCACTTGTGTTCATGTGGTTGAACAGTAACTGCACCAGCTCAATGATCTCACTTAAAAAACCTCCCAGGTTAGTTTTCAGGCAGATCAGAAAGCTGGCCTGACTTACCAGGTACTTGTTAATGTCAACAGAAGGGGAGGCAAGTGGGCTGGAAGGAAACTACCTCTGAAGAAGGTGTTGAAAGGGGCATAGTTGTACATCGTAGCAGATGCTGGAGTTCCTTGCTTATCTCATTTAAAGCACACCCTCACAAACAACTGACAAGTGTGGCGTGGAGGTGGAAATGAGTGGTAGGAAGAGGATGGGAATTCTTAAACCAACTTTTCCACTGGAAAAAACCCAACAAAGTACAGTGTAGGTAATCCTCCTGCAGTCAATGACATGCTCCAGCTGGATGGCTCATAGTGCCCAGAATGCATATTTTTGCTAGTTCAGAGCTTAAGTTAGTGACAGCTCTGCCTGCTCAGCACCCTAGAAGGTAGTTCCTTTATAAATTCATTTGAATATACAAAAGTAAACCATGAATTACAAGGCAGGCTGGAGAACATGCTTGGGCCTTCACCGTGTGGTTTTAGTGCTTGTGACTGTAATATTTGAACAAATCGGAACAGAAGTTAATAAAAATCTGGTGGCTTCCTTGTGAAGCTGAGAACTCATCTGTGGAGGCAGAAAACTAAGGCAAATCATAGTTTGTTGGAAATCATATAAGCTCCTTGCTATAGGGACAGTAACAGAACATTCTCTTTTGGTAGGCTTTGCAGATTGCTTGTAACATCTTTCTGCATGGAATTATATGCCAAAACCCAGGTCAGGGCAACCACTCCTCTCCCAGCCACTAAATTTTAAAGCCCATGCAAAACAATAGCGTTGTTTAATGATCCAGCTCTGAGAATTTTTTGCCAAGAGACAAATACTGTGCTTTCTCGTAACTGCTTTCTTAGAAACCACTGAACTATTGTTGCTAACATTCTTTCTCTAAAAGGACTATAAAAAGCCCTGCATTCAGGAACTTAACTGAGAAGTATTAAACAACCCAAATTGTACATGCATCTTGTTATCAGCTCTGTTTATGGTGGTAGAGAGCCTGTACAAAGTGAAAAAATACTAATTAAAAAAGAAAGATTAATCACCTGCATGTAAGCAGTGAATGACTAACACAGTTGTTACTGTGGTATTGGGGAAAAGAATGCCTAGTTTTAAATTTTTGTTCTTATACCTCTGAGAACAAAAAAGGTATTCTGCATGATTTCCTCAAGCTTGGTCTTGCTCAGCTTCTTGGCACACACCGTCATTTTTCAGGTACATTTTTTCCTGCTGTTAGCTGTGCTGCAGGGCACCGTCTCCGAGGTCATTATCAAAGGGTTTCTTTGTCAGCCTGGCTCCTCCTGCCTCCACAAAGCCAAGGGCTAGCCCTGTCCCACCGAAATCCACACAGGTCCCGTGCCAGAGCCGCAGCTAGACATTGTGCTGGTTTCACAGTCTTGGTGGACCTGTGCCAGTTTGCCTTATCTGATGATCTGGCTCCATGAGAACAAGTCCCTAATGACTCACATCCACCTCATACCTGGTGTGCACGGGAAGAAGCTGTTTTTCAAGCTGGGTCCCACAAATGACAGCAAATCATGTCTTCTTTCTTGTAGAGCTGCTGAATAGAGTGTGTGTTCAAGGGAGACACTTACTTAATGCGCACCCAGTGTCACACAGTGTCGTGGTACAAGGTGGCAGGGTGAGTCTGCAGGCATGCTCTGTAGGCACTTCTACAGGATGGCACTTTGCAGCACTTGCTGGGGAGAAAGCAGCTTCAGGATCACGTTGAAAATGAAGCAGAAACAAAACCCTCATTTTCAAAAGCGAATAGATCTACATGCAGTTACTATAGTGCAAATAATGAGCATGGAAAATTTAAAATTTGGTATCAAAATCAGAAATAAAAAAAAAGCCTCTTTTCACCAAAGAGCTTCCATTCAGACAGATATTTTATTTTGCTTTGTACATGCAAACCACCATCTTGGAGTGCTAATACAACCCTTACATCTTAACATAAAACTTGAAAAAAACTCTGAAAAAACAACTAAACCAACTTTGAAATCCATTGTCACTGACTACTATTACCTAGTGAAGACACGGGTGTTAGCAAAGCCTCCTCACACAAACTAATGTAAGAACGTAGATTCTATACAAGATTACTGACAAGATAACAGATGCAACCTTTTAGCTTTGCAAAGCCCCCATGTGAATACAAACACTGTGAGCAATGCTAAAGTGGAATCTAAGCAACAGCAGGATAAAACTCTAGAAGGTCATTAAGTAGCATAACTGAGGGAAATTATTTGAAAATATGATTTTAAAGAATAGGTCTCCATTAATAAATTATCATCCCACTGTGTCTGTCTCCACAGTTGATTTTGTCTTCCAAAATGTATTTAATAGGCTCACAGGAAGTTGTGGCAATGTCAAAATTGCAGGTCATACCATTGCCCTGCAAGTGTGGTTCCACAGCTCAAGCACAAATCCGTAATGCCACGTTTAAATCTGTTATGTGAAGCCCCAAATGGCCTTTGTGTAAATCAACCCCAGTACCTGCAGTGGAGCTTGCACCAAAGGCAGCAGCCTCCCAGTCATGCCGGCATGGAGATCTATCCAAAGGTGTAAATTGTTGGATAATGGACCAGATGTTACTGCTAGGCTATTTTAAAAGATCTGGAAAAAGACTCCTCTGTACTCTGGTTGAATAATATTTTCCATTATAAAGGACTCTTTCTTTGGGAAGTATTAACACCTCTGTTGTTTGTTGCAGGCCTTTGATATTTAGCAGGGGAAGTCCCAGAGGCTATAGTGGTACCTGTTCATTGCCCAGAGAAACGTGACTCAGTTGTACCCATACTATAAAGTATTAAAAATGACAGGTCTCTGATTCATGCACAAAGGCAGATTAAAATCAGGCTGCCACCCACATCTGTCTGGCCTGCCCCCACTACACAGATGGCTCAACTGCTCTTCAAACATCAGCTGAATTGCCACAAATTACAGCCCAGCATACTTAATAATACTAAAACCTGAGCGCAAAGATCTCAGCTACCTGCAAAGCAGGAACTTTCAAGGCAGTAACAAGCTGGACAGCTGTGGAAGGAGATTTTTTACAGCCATCACTTTTAGTGTGCCTATGCTTGTGACAGGAGTCTTAAACTCCTTTTCTCTCTCTGGCCAAGATTGCTAAGCATCACAGACAACCTGGTCCAGATTGTCAGGCTGAAGCAGCAGTGAGGATGGGTGCACAGTCATGATTTAGGGCTCCCTCCAGCAAGCCCCACTCCCATTCCTAATGCAGCTGTAGCAGACCAGCACAAACGCATCAGCAGGCTCACTTGCCCATGCTCTTTGTGACAGCAAATGTAGGAAGCAGATACCAGTATCACCATTCCACCTGCTCCTACAGGTCCTCATGAGGGTCCTGGGCAGAATGCTGTGCTCTTCCAGCTGTGGGGATGACTGGGAGCACATCCCTCCTTACCCCAGCACTGGCCTAGCACAGCCTCGTGGTCCTCGTGTGCAACAGCGGGCAGCAGCTGGGTGATGAAGGGCCAGTTCAGGGGAGCCAGTTTTCTACAGGACATGCAGTGTACATCCTCCCAAACACAAGTGCCCCAGCATCCGTAGGGTTACACAGCAAGCTCACTTCAATTTCAGACAGCCTACTTTTATTTAAACTATTCCCAGTGTGCCTGATACTACATTCTGCTGTCCAGAGCCTCACCTGTGTGCAAGCTGATGGCTCGTCCTGCACTCTCAGTACTAGTTTCTCTCATAAAAGAATGAACATTTAGTAAGTGGTGGTGATGCAATACCACTCTGTCTATGCACTGAAAGTTGCACTGTCAAATTGGCACAGGAAGCCCTTCTCAGAGAATACCTCTGGGCCCTCAAGGGACACCAGCTTGTGGTGGTTAGCACAGAGTGAACTAGATTTCTAGCTGGCTGAATACCACCTTCTCCTGCATACATATTTTATTTGGAAGGTTCCTGGTTTAAAAGAAATGTTTCAAACACTGTAATTCGTTTTTACTGTGATGAAAGATACATGTCTTTTTGTCTATGCTCTTTATAGAAGACTCAGACAAATGCCTTTGCCACACACTTTTCCTAACAGATCAGGATAACTATGGCTATGTGGAATTATTTGTGAAAACACAGGTGGGATACATTTAGTTATACTGCCAATATCATTCATTTACTTTCTCACTGTTGTATCTGCAGCACGCAACAAACATCTATAAAATTGCCACTATACCAAATTGTATATAAACCCTATATAAATCCAGCTCTGTGAACATCTTTATTTTATTTAGACATACCTTTTTTTTTATTTAAATGTAATCATTTAGTTGTAGCTTAAAAGTCCTTTATGAGAATAAAGTCTCAAATTATTTCAAGAGTTATTAAAGTCACTTAGTAAAGCTAAGAAACCTGACAAAACTGAGTTTTAATATACATCTCACAAGCTGCTGCTGATTTCTAATAAATAATGTAGTAGGCTAATAGAAAATGGGGTGCTTTACGTATCAGTTCAAACTGTTTGTCTCATGCATTGGCTCAACACTTTCCCCATGGGATATATATTTTTAATAAATAAATACACATGCACACAGATATATACGCTAGGTGAATATACAGAACTTAAAAGTTTCTTCTCCAAAAGGCTATAAAGTATTATACATGCATAATATTGTATTTTGCATATATTCTCTAAGCACATTAGAATAAGTTAATGTGAAAGGTGAGAAAGCACAGTATTGTGTACAAGATTTGTGAAGGATAAAAGTGAAGACTTTAGAACCTATTTTATTTAAAAGAATAAACCTCTTCAGAAGAGTATACTTTTCACAGTAAGAATCCATTAAAAGGCTGTTTTTCTGGAAAGCTATCTGAATTCCCAAGCCCAGCTCCATTTCTGCTAGTTTTTCCTTCTGCTTCGTCAACTTCATCAGAAGTACAACAGCTTTCAAATGGCTGTACAGCAGTTTGAAGTTCAGAATACATAGGCTCTGACACAGAAGTCTCTGTTTCTACCCAAACATTTTCTCGAGTAGCTTGTGATCCTGGCTGAAGCTGCATGAAAAGCACTTCTACTGTTGAAGTGTCTCTTTCGCATGAGTCTCTTCCTTCTCTTCCAAAACTATTTTGACTTGGTGAAGGCTTATTTGTTCCTGTCTTGTTATTGAGAGCCTGACCTAAACCCATGATGTCATTATACACTGCTACATTCAAACTCATATGACCCTCATCATCTTCTTTATATCTAAGGGAATAAAATTGACAACACTGAAAATACAAGTACAAACACAGCATTTACAGCAGAAAGTAAGGATAATCTAATCTCTAGTTAGATTTTCAAAACTGAGAATGGCAGCAGTTAAAAGATGAATTAGATTGCTATTTATTAGGTGGCACTTAAACAAAAGGCACTCTATATGAAGGACCACCTGCAAGAGGGTTCTGATAAGTAGTTTTTATCAAATATACATCATGTAACAGAAAATAAAAGGTATCTATTCATAATTATATTTTATTTGCTGGATTTTCTTGTTCCAAAATGGAGATTATGGCTTGTTTATACTACAGAAGCTGTTGAAATATTTATGTACTCTTTCATGGATATAACTTGCAGGGTCAAAAAATTTCTTTCAACAACCTAGGTTACAAGATTTTCCAGAGTGGTAAAAGCTATAAAAGCATAAAGACCTTTTTATTTCCTTGGTTTAACTATCTTTACACTAGTGCTAACGAAACCTAAGTAGTAAATTGTTTCATGCTCAGAATGCTTAAAACAGAAGCAAACTTAAGATAACATTTAATTAAATATCTGCATCTCTTAGACAAAATGTTTTAAAAAACCCCAACTTTATGATCTGAGCAAGAATCAGCTGGTAACATACCTGAAACGAGAATGACTGCAGAGTTTATGAGCTTTTCGAAGATGTAGGGTCAATGTATAACTCCAGGAGAAACATTTCTGACAGATGTGGCATTTATATTTCAGAATGCCATTACTCTTGGAAAGAAAGACTGTTAGAGTCACTGAAGGCTTGCAGGTACATATGACAAAAATTATTCATTTGTTGAAAAAGGGAAAACCACATAAACTAGCTGAAAACTCTTCTGAAGTGAACTTCCTAAAACATTTAAAATCTGTGCTTTTTAAAACATGTCTGTTTAAGGAACCCCAGTGAACAAGGAAATTCTCAGCATAGTCCATCAGTGCTCCAATAGCAGTGTGACACACATCTTTCACTAAAATATATGCATTTTACAACATAGCAGTGATCATAACTGTCATAACTCAGGAAGATGAAGCAGCAGGCAACAAGTGTGCATAAACTATAGCAGCCAAAACTGTATTTTAACGCTGTGGCCAGACTCACCTGATTAAAAGTGATGTATGCTTTACATACTTTACAGTTTCTCTGTTTTCAGGTAACATATTAATTCTAAGGATGGAGTACCAACATGAGGAGAAAGGTGACACTGGATTTTAATCCCCGAAATACTTGGCTGTTGAGATTAGGATTGTCATCTTATTTTTCAAAAGGGGTTGGGTGTATGTGGGGGGGGTTCAAGACAGTGAGTATGCAACTGCATGCACCTAAAGTAAGCACTCAAGTGCTTACTTTAAGGTAAGGATGAATTGGGTATTTGAATAATACTTGCAAGAGACTTAGAAATCTGTGCAAGTAAGTACTTGATTTGATGCAAAAATGAAACAATTCACAAAAAACTAAAGGCATATAAAATTGGAATTTTAGTCTCATTTGTAACAAGGTATTTTATTCTGCTATTTAATATACTCACCATATGTACTCTCTTGTAATGCTGTTTCAAAGTTTGTAAAGTCCGTGAAATAAAACCACATCCTTCAACATCACAGCTGTAGGCATCTGAATCATTGTGTGTTTCAACATGTTTATGCAGATCATACGCATTCTTAAAACTTGAAAACAAGGTAAAACAAATAACAGATATAATAGTACAGAGGAGTTGTCTTGTGGTTAATGTTTAGGACTGGGAGGTAGTAATTTTTGGCTCTGACAATGACAAGTGAAAGCGGAATATGTGTAAATTGCTTCTCTACCTCATTTTTTCCACCTGTGAAAAGGGGATAGTACAGACATCTCTTTGATGTGCTCTGGGTTTAATTTTCCATTCCCTCTTTCTTCCCACACATCCACACCATGCCCAAATCTAGGTAATTTTTCAACAACCATGTTGCAAGGCATCACCCCCTCTTTTTGTTTGTGTAGAGAAAATTCTTGTCCATTTTCAGTCAGTCATTTCATGCTCTCTGGTCTAGAAATTCAGATTATTTCCTGCTGCCCACTCACAGTTCACCGAACACAAAAGTACATAAGTACTTATTCACTTTATCACACTTTCAGCATGAAAGACCAGACCTCTTACCTTCTCTGGTAAAGTTAAACATAATTTGTCAGTGCTTATATATACAGTTTGGTCTGTCACATTACAATGTTGTGGGGTTTTTTTATTTGTCTCCTGTGTGGCATCATATGGCAAAAGCAAAAGAAACCACCACAGGAAAATGAGAGCATTAGACAGCAGAAGATATTGTAAGCCCATGGCAGAAAAATCACTCGAAGGAGAAGACTGCAACTCTCCCAGCAAACAGCCAGCAATCATTTAGAATGGCAAAAGACATAGTTTAGGGCAATACTGCTACATGTCTCAACTTGTGATGACCATTTTGGCGTACTCATGATCTTGCCAAGAAAATTCACCTTTTAACATATCAGTTCTACGTGCACCACAAGTTCATGAACTACAGCATCTCAGCAGGTGAAAGCAGATGAACATCAGATGAACCTATTAGATTTCTTCATAGACCTGTTGATTATTTTAGCAGTTGAAAACTTTTCTTTCTTTATTCCCATGTAGAACACCAACTTGGTTTTACGGTTCTGCTCACATAGCAACAAGCCTCAGATTTTCTTACCTGCTGTCACAGAGGTGACAATGGAAAGGACGTTCATTACAGTGTCGGAATCTGGTGTGTGCTTTCAGTGAGGAAACACTTGTGCGTACCATGTCACAAAGGGCACATGTAACGTGATAAACTAGAAAAGAAAGATACTTTTAGTTCTGTATCCCAGTTTCACACTGACATTGTCTGCTATGACGCACGACAAAAATATATAAAAATATCAGATTTAAAGTAAGATATTATAATATATTTGAGACTAAAACACACAGAAAAAAATATTAAAATGGATTGCAGAAGCAATAAGGAGGGTAATGGAGTAATGGTCAATCTTACAATGTTTCAAGTTACTTAAAAAAAATAGATGGTAAGGGAAAAAGATGTAGAGGATAATGTTTCACTCTCTAGGCTGTAACAAAAAGGATGATTATCACTTTGCCCTTGGCACTTTGGGAGGATTTCTAAAAGGTGGATGTTGTCTGGAGGCCTTCTGACAGACAAGCACTGGCAAATCTACTTTTACTGTTTAAGGTATTACCACTCTCAAAAAGATGGCAGAAAGAATACATGTCTGTCCTCCACCTCCCCATTTCACATTCAGGTATATTTGCTTAAGGCATAATAATGCAAGGTACTTGCTAAGCTGCCAGACATCGAACTGCAGTGGCTGAGACACAGGTTTGCTCTGACTCTGGAACAGGGGAAGACCTCTGGCAGATTGGCAGGCAGGACTGTAACATCTTAAGCTGAACAAATGTTTGCTTGGCTGCATATGAATCAGCAGCCTGATGAATGCAGTAGGAAGGGTCTCAGTAAAGAAGTTTTGGATTTAGACAAAATCTGTCATATTTCGGACTCTGAAACAACACATTATCTTATAACAACTGAGCGCTATACAGATGACCAAAGAAAAACATGCAGGTGAAGTGCTCATGTCTTCTTGAAAACTAATATAATTCACTATAATTATTCCGGAATCATTCCCTGCATAGGCACTTTTCCTCATCGTTTGTCTTAAACCAGGAAAAGTGAGTATTTTTTTCCTCCCTAAAATAAATAGCTTAATGTGGAAGCCAGCCTGGAACAATATAATATGCAAAACTGCCGTGAGTGAAGTTCAGCACTCTCTTGAAATGGGAGTATTCAATGGTTTACTTGGTTGTCTGGCATGTAAGAATGTCCATGCAGGGAGTGATTTCAGAATACCTACAGCATTTGCATTCACATCACAGCTTATTTCAGAGTCGTTTCTTATAGGTAAGCAAGCTTTTTAAAAGACAATTTCAATATTTATCTATATCTGCAAGCTATTAAGAATTATGCTGGGGTAAGAATCTGAAAATATCATGTCTGCACTGGTAGTCTGCACTAACATGCAGACATGTATGCTGCCAGAACTTATAAAGAAAGCTGATTCATGAACCAGGGAAGTGCTGGCTCTAATATCCAAAGGGATTTACATTGTGCCTGTTCAGTTGGACCCTGGAATGCCTTCCAGCTCCCTCAGCCAAATTCACATTGTGGGTGGTTCACTGTGGCTTACTGGGACATGACACAGGTTCACATTATCCTTATTCCTAGGTCCAGCCACCTTGCCATTTTCCTTGGCTGTGTAAGCAGAATGAGGTCTGAATTATCAGGGGACAAGGATGGCCAGGCACAAGAACTGTACAGTTCACAAAAGTTTAGGCACAGCCAGAATGACCAGACACAAACAGTCCAATTAGCTATGTGCTTTATTCAATATATAAAATCTATCTTAATGTGTGTTATGTTTTAATTAAAAAAAACCCAAAAAACCAAAAAACAAACCCCAGAAAACCAAAACAAACTCAAACAACAGTTTACTGAAACTGCTTCCTTAGCTAATAAAAAAAATAAAAAATCTTGATTTGTATTTATTACCAATTTCTGTCCAAAATCACTCTGAGACAAAGGAATAAAACTGATCTAGCACACAAACAAAACCTAATTATTTTCTAATATATAAAAATTAAGATATTTTAGTCAGATGCATGTCAACTATAAAACCATTCAACTACAAACATGTTCAGTCCTGGCAGGTCACAGTAAGCACCAAATCAAATGCATAGTTGTTAAGCACCAATGTGTTGACTTGCAGACTGAAAAATCATGTTTCCTTAAGAATGCAACTAGAAACTAGAATCTACCCTGACTGAGCAAGTCTGCACAAAGCTGCCTGTATGTTTATACAGCCTAAATGACTGGTACCTAGGTCTGGCTACATGGTTCAAATATTCCTTTTCCTGAAGCAAAGACCCACCCGGCTCTCAGCTTCTGCATTTCCTGTATGGCCAACAGCAATATCACATGTTTCCTTGTGCTTAGATGCTGTAGGATTCTTTCCCAGCAAGTCATAGCTGTTGTAGTATAACCTGTGGGAATAATCTGGGGACCTCAGGGAGATTGTGGTTAGGTCAGTGAAGGACTACACTATTTGAGTGAGGCTGATTATGCACTGCCAGGTGAGCAGAGTTGCAGTCCAAGCTAAAATACAGCTTTGGCTTTAACCATGCCCCTAGTCATGAATGCAAGTAAACAGAAGTGAAGAATAAGCATCTTCATGGGAGCTAGTGCAAAACAGAAAGCCCCTTACACTTTTTGATCAGAGGGCATGAAGAAGGGAATTTCCACACTTTAGAGGGACTGGCAATGAAATTCTTACTTCCCAGCATTAGTAAGACAGTTGCCCCAGTCTGGTATGTGAATTTTCTCAACTGATATAATAATACTTACAGCTCTGTTCTGTACAAGGTGACCTTGAGAAAAGTGCATTTTATTTTAAAAAGCTCTGACTTACCATGTCCCCTCATGTGATCTCGTAGCAGCCTTTCATTGGCAAAATGTTTCTGGCAGTTCTGGCAAACAAACATTCGATCTGAATTTAAATAGAAACTGTTTAGTGGCAATGCAAATAACTTACGAAAGACTTATTAATTAATAACCTATAGCTGCCAGTTCCATGAATAATCTAACAGAGCACTGATACAGTTTCAATTTTCTTTTTCATTACCAATGCTCTTCAGAAGAAAATTTAGTTTAGGCTTAATGAAAAGGATTGCTTATCAGCAAGTTAAATTTATCCTGAACAGCATAACAATCTGTTCAAAACACTAACAGTTTGAAATTTGAGCTCTTCCGTCAGTTACCTAGAATGCACCTACTTTCCATCACCAAAACATCCACAATTCATAATATTCCAAGTGCTTAAAACCAGAAAAAACAATCACCTCCCCCTTCCTCTTTAGGAAAGCATGCCAACTAATGCATAGTTGATTGAGGTAGGGAGTGTTCTGGTGAAGAAAATACTTACTGGAAAAGCAAAGCTGAAGAGAAAAAAAAGTGCTTTTTGACGTGAAAGCAGTCAAATTCCCATTTGGGATTACTTGCAGGGATTTTGTAATCTGAGCCTGGCTCTTGTGGAGGTTCTCACTTCAGTAATCAAAAGTCTTTCCCATTCATGGGCAGTTTTCCAGTGTCAATGCAATGTCACGCTGTGCCATGGCACCAAAGGAAGAGAGGCAGTGCAATGCCACAGTTGCCAAGTGAACAGCTTTTTTGCTGAAACATGGATCCAAGGGTGTTATGTTGCTCACTTACATTACCCTAACTCATCAGACATGCAAAGTCAAAAGAATTTCTACACTTTATGAAAACCACTGCTTTCCTGGAGCAAACCCTGCTTTCATTTAATTGACTTGTATGAAAAATAGAAATATTTATGAAATTACATGTGCACATTATCACAGAGCAACTTAAATGAAAATCTCTTAGAAATATAAGCAGAAATAAGAGCTTACTTACTATCTTTTGAAACTTGTCTCTTTGTATGATCAAAAAACTTAGTGTTATTGGAGAACATTCCTCCACAAGTAGGACATGCTACAACTCTTTCCTGTGTGTGGGTTCTTAAATGATCCCAGAGCTTATGCTTTCCTTTAAATACACCTAAACAATCTAAATCAAACAAACAGAAAAAACCTGCACATGAGTGCTGTACTCTTTCTTATGTAGAAACACAAAAAGCTATTACATACTTACGTCCTATTGTTATATTTTTAGAAATACACAAAAAAAGCTGCTTCTAGGAAAAAAATCAGGCTGGCACTATTACTAATATCATGTGACATTTAACCCCACAAACATCCGTGCCAAAGCCAGATTATTTGTCAGTAATCAGAATTCTTCAAGACATGTTGACCAGGTGTGTGTCTCACAAAAATTTCAGTTTTGTTGAACTAGCAGAGAGTATGCAGTTATACTTTCCACATGTGTCAAAGTTTTTGACTCCACATATATGCTCATACAGCAGAATACAGGTGACACTCATTACAATTTCTGTTGCTCACTACCATTACGGAACTCCCGCAATCTTCATGGTCTCTGGAGAACCAGGAGAACAAGATGGGGTAGTGAAAACATGTGTCTTCACATTTTCTGTCTTTACATACACGTTCACATAGTGGTTAACCACAAGCAATCAGCTATCCACCAGCCAATCTTGGCATATAAATAGCTATGTTCTCAGATCCCTTGAGCTCAGGAACAGTATGGCGTTGTGGACACGGTGCAAGTTCTAACAGCACCAGTAGGAAGCTCTTGACTATTGACATGTGACAAATAAGGGGAAAATCCCTGGTAGGTTAATGTATTGGTGTAAATGGAGCTAAAGAACTACTTTCAGGAGAAAACTTCAGACAGATGTCAAGGAATAGACTTATCCTTTCACATAAGGAGAAGCAGCTCTCCCATCTACCTAAAAAACCTGACAGCTATGCAGAAAGCTACTTTTTTAGCAAGGTGAAATGGCCTGGACCCAATCAAAGACTCTTACAAATCAAGATGATTAAAACTGAATTCAAGAGTAAGAGATGGGGAAAGATAAAATATTCTTTTGCAGATGATGCATGGTAATAATAATTGAGTGAGTCAAATTCAATGACAGGTGGGATACCTCTAGGTCTCAGAAACTAATATGTAAAATTCATTTAACAAAAAGGATTTGACTAATCCATTTAACCAGGTTCCATTTCTACTATTCATCAGGACATTCTTCCAAGTAGAATAAGAATGTAATAGCCTTAATAACAAGCCATACCCGCCTACAACCAGTAGAATACAGGCAACTTCCTGAGCTTCACATCAATACACATAATAAAGAGATAAAAGTCTAGACTCCTTATAAAAGACAAAGGAAATCCTAAAACCTCACCCTGTCTACAATGAGGAAAAAGGATCATCAGTGTCTCTTTCACCTCTACTGTGTACAGGATACTTCTGATCAGGAGAGGCAATAAAAAGAATGACAAGTTCCCATGTCTAGATTAGAAGCTGCAGGACTGATTTTTTTTCTAGTGCAACATGAAGATTTCTGTATGTTTAACCACAGATTCAAAATATAACATACAAGACATCAGATTGAATCTCTCTCTCACATCCTTCCTTTGTGAACTCTGCCAGGGCCCTGAGTATGCCAACAGCCTCTGGTCACCCTGAGCAGCCTGTAGTCAATCTTTGTCCGTAATCCTCCTCTACAGCCAATTCCACGCCACACATCTAAGGGTTTAAGCTGCCTGTGTTTGAGGTCTGCACTTAAGACAGTGTGGCTGTTCAAGCTTCAATCACTCTTCTGTGAAAACAGCTGAGCTGTAAGAAAAAGCAGCGAGAAACTTCCTCTGGGGCACACCCGGTGCTGCAGTTCCCCACCTGTTGCGCCTGACTGGTCCTGCCTCAGACTTGCTGTCTGGGCTTCCTGACTTGACCTCAGACCTGGCTTGTCACAGTGGACTTAGGTGGTGGTGGCTGGGCTGTGGCTGACCCTGGCTAGCACCAGCAGACCTGCTCTGCTCTTGTTCAGGTTCTGTGAGACTGCACCCTGCCACTGAGGTCCCTGCTTGCCCAGCTGTCACCCTTAACTCCCAGTTGTCCTCCCTTGTAGAACAGTCGCTTGCTGTGTCCTCACAAATTCAAACCAACTCAGACCACCAGCTAGTACACTGAGAGTCCCTGGAAAAGACTCATCACTTTCCATCCGTTGCTTCAGTTTCACAACAACTTCTTCCTCATCAAGATGAGCCCTTACTGGCTTGTCCTTGCTTGTTAATTTTGGGGTTGTGAATGAAAAGTTGTCTTTCATTGCCTAGACATCATGACTACTGCTAAAGTATTTTAAACTAGCCTATTAAAATGGCTTATCTAACTTAAAACTTGCACCTCTTGTTACAACTGATGCCCATTTCTTCTCATCCTTCTCATTCTCATTCAGACATGGAGAACAGTTGATGTCACTGTTCCTAATAGCAGGGCATTTCCTAAACATATCTGAACACACACCATATTCCTTTTCTGCGGCATTTCCTTTCTCCTCGTTCTGTTATTTAGGCTGTACAGTCAGAGCAGTTCCTTCACCTGTTCTAATAGGCTATATTTTCCAAAGCTGTAATCACACTGATATGGGATTTTTGTTCCTCTAAAGCCTACAGAGTCTACACTATCAGGTCACTGGAGTGAGTTCCCAGCCAAAAAATAATGCATCTATCAGCTAATCTCAAGAGGGAAAAGGAACAAAATGATGTCACCTTGCATCCACTGATGGGATTTTGTCATCATTGCAGTGAACAGCCAACCCAAAACTAACTTTAACTCATAAGTTGAAAAAAACACCTATCTGGGGGTTTACCAAGAGGATTCCCATCAAACCTGGACTTTGTTGACACATTTTGCAAGACACAGCCAAATCAATTGGTTTAATGCAAGCATGGTATGTCCTGTTTCAGGATTAGAGTCCCATGAATTGTCTCATTATTCTTCAGCAGAAAGTCTTTTCTTCTGGAGAGGTTCTGCTCATACTCTTAGTAGGTCTGAAGCTGAATGGCATGCACATCAAATAGCAGTCCATAGTTTAGCCCTTACTCAAACAATCAAGGCATCTGCTATGAAAGACTGTCAATGGAATGTGGCTTCTACAGTAGAGCCAAGGGCAGAACATCAGCTTTGAAGCCATGACAATAATTTTAACACAACAGGTAGTCAGCAATATACAGAATGCATTAAAAATGTTCTTTCTCACCACAGAGTTGTAAAAAATTAACAATAGGTGTGCTTCTCTTGATTTTAAGGGAACAGATGAGGGAAAGCAAAAAGTAAGCTCAGTGTGAACTACTGTGAGGGACACAACACCAATCCCAAGTGGTAGAAGTGAAAAGTCAGTTTGAATGGCATACGAACTGTCAACCACAAGGAGAATTATGAGGAAACCCAACCGTGTTCGGTAATGGCAACTGAGGGTGTTCAACCCCATGGATGATAGGGACTATTCTACTTAAATCATGGTGCCTACAAATGAAAATGTTTCTACAACTGTTTAATATATATGAAAAAATATCTGAAGATCTCTCACAAGTTCTTGCGCAATATGCAGCACTAAGTGAATTTTGTAAGAAACAATGAAGTGATTTTTAAAATGGATTTTGTTTTTGTTTTTAATATGAACTACCTTTCCAGTGACAATAAACAGCTTTCTTCTGATCTGTAACAATTTCTTCTTCAGCAGCATAGGCATGATTAGCAACATGTTGATAAAACCACACTGGGTTATTGAAGGTAACCTAAAAACAAAATAGAAGCATGGAGAAGACAAGATAGTTTGGGCAGGAAACCAACTGACGGGAACATAGTGTTTCTAGAAACCAAATAGACACCAGTAAATATTGCAGTAACATTCAATTAACTCACCCCAACACAGAGACAATTACTACAACTACAAAAATGTAGAACATTCTGCAGTATCCACCACAAAAACCAGGTCCTGAATTTTCACCTAAGATCTATTAGTTGAAAAGTCTGTCTAAACTAATTGAGCGAATGCTGTCCATTCTTTGGGACAGGGATGTGTCTTTCAAGGTTGATTTATTTATTTAATGTTCCTGTTGATTTATTTCTTTGGTTAATTTTACCTTGACCCCTCCCTTCACTTCTACCTGCTCATACTCATGAGGAGGCTATGAAGGCAGCACAGGTAATTCCAACAGAAGTGGGAAGGCTGCACAGTGATTAAACGGAATTAGGTGTTGTGGACACAGCACTCCATGAGTCAGTACTTATGTGACAAGGGGGACTAAACCCTAATTAGCCTCTGTCTCACAGCATAAAAATCCACACCTGCAGAGTGAAAGTAGACTGCACATTGCATTTTCTTCAAGTAACAGAGGGTGTCATTCAGCTGCATACTGTCATCAGTCGCAATTCAAAGGATACCTCTCTGTTCCAAATAATTTAAGCCCTCAAACTCTGCTGTGCTGGCACAATTTGGTAAGGTTACACATCGAAGTGGGACAAGGAATTAATCTGGCTTTAGACCAAATCAAAACTCTGGGAAGAAGAAAGGGGAAACAGGTGGAACTCCTTAGGCTGATATTGTTGATGATGATGATGTACAGCTGATTCTAATTTAAACAGCACTGGGGTTCTTATAGGAAAAATATATAAATGAAATAAAATTATTATCTGGTTTTAATCATTCTAGTCTTAGTAGAGTGGGTTAAATGAAGATGCTAGGCATTCTGTGTGCAGAACAGCGCATTCACACAAGGAGTTAATGCAGGCAAACTGCTGCATTTTAAATTCATACTCCACTGTATTTCACAATAGCACCCTCAGGGAGACAAGCCCTTATTTCCTCTGAAGGGCTTGAAACATGATCTGAGAAATGCAAGGTCTTGTGTATATGAAAACATATAGACATATTAAGGTGAATCAATTAAAAATACTGAGCTAGACAGTGATCGAAAACCTCTTCACTTCTTAATCAGAGTAACCATATGGGGGTTAAACCCATTTTAATTTGTTGGCACCATCTCTTTAAGTCTTTCACTGGAACTTTCTTGAATATTTCTTTATATGTAAGTATGAGAGGAGAGAAGTTTTTGGGGCAGTTGCCCAAGTCAGAAGCTTTACCTTTGGGGAAACTGAATCCGACACAGTAGGAGGCACCACAAGTGTTGGGGGAAGTTGTATGGATGATTTTCAAAGAGAGTTATATTCATAACTGTGGGAACATATTTGCAGGAGGGTGGGAAAGGTAAGCAGTTTTCCCTGCCCTCAAAGTTCTCCTCTTTCACAGTGTGCCCTACCCCACCTCCTGGGTCTAGTCTAGTCTGCCTACTAAGTTGAGAAACATTCTTTTAATTAATAAAATTCACAACATAGTTTGAACTTGAAAAAACATGTATAAAAAGATTTAGCAAAATGCTGTGGACTAGAAGATTCCATCAGCCAAAACTGCCCACTTACACAAATGAAAAATGGAACATGAAATCAATTAATGGGAAGATTTTCCTTCTGGTTTTTAAGCTTTTTTCTTTTTCCAAGCACATTTTTCAAGAGACTGTGCTTACTGACAGATGCAGCAAAACCAAATTCTGAGGGCTCTGAAGTTTTTCTGGACATCTTTATTTTTAAAATAAATAGACCAATCTTGGTAGTGTGTGAGTGAAGACTGATTAGTGTGTATTGAAAAGAGTCAATAACAAAAATAAGTGTTGTAAGAAATATGATTCTTATAAGCTATGAGACATAATGGCAATAAGATTTGTTTGTAGCAATAGGTTGCAATCAAACTATGTAAACAAAATGAAGTTATCATAAATAATGCTTTGTATTATATTTTTAAGCTTATAGCTTTAAAAAGAAGAGAATGGGGTACTTCCATGCATAATCTAGTAAGTAAAAGACTTTCTCACAGATCCACTTAACAACAGAACTACCGTTCTCTATAAACACCACCCTCCTTATTTCATGTAAATAAAAATTAATAAAAAGAAAGGTATCAAAGCATTATGTGAGTGCAGATATCCTAAATTCAGAGCCAAAAGAGCCAAATGCATATTTTTAGACATTCTGTCCAGTAATAACAGACAGATGAGGAAGCATTCACTTTTTATATATGCTATGGCACAAACAAACTGTAAGCTGAAATTTTAAGAGGAAAGTGGAAATAACTTTGGACCTAGTAAGGAGAAGGTTAGCAAAGCAAAGCATGGACTATAAACACCATCAGAAAATAAAAGTACATTCACTTCATCACTGCAGTACATAAACATCACACTGACTCTAATTCAAAAATGTCACGCGCGTGAGGGATAAAATACCTATGTAAAGCACCACCAGCCTGACATTCCTGTGCATAGAAATAATTTCATCCTCATTAGTCTTTGTTTATAACCTCAAAAACCATAGTTTATGTCATTAATTTTATCACAAATTTGATATGAAAAAATCATAGATAACAGAGAAATATGATTTAAGGGTGATAACCCATGAATCATTGAAAGGCCTAGAGACACATCAGGAAAAAAGAATGAAAGGCCTTTGAAAAACATTAATGTTTTTGGTTTGATTTGCAGTTCAGCACTACTAAACCTACATCAGATCTGCCCATATGAGGTTTGCAAAATTCAGTTTTATAGTTTTTCTGATTTTCACAGTACAACTCATTTCAGTTGTTTCTTCTTCACCAACATTTTACATTTTTAGTTATACCACTTCACCCAAATGAAAGAAAAAAACTCATACAATATGAAAAAAAATAATGTAGACCAGATAGTTTTCAGAGAAAGGAGTTATGCAGTAAAATTGTCTATCTTGCTCAACAGTTACACAAAAGGAGATGATAAGAAAATGTCATCTGCAAGGGATCACACTTGTGGATATCTTTGCATACCTTTGCAGGTAATGCTCACTGTTTCTGAGGCCAATAGTGACAGAAAAAGTGCTTCCCTACAACATCATATGAATACAAAGCCACTTTTGATCAGGAATGAACACCTCCAAGAAGCAGAAAATGACTGACTTCTGTCAACAGTAAAAAAAACCAAACAACAACAATGACCAAACAAACAAAACCTCAAAACATTTCCAACTGACTAGGGAAACATCACATATACTATTGCCTTTCTTAAGGCAGACAATAAACACTCTGGACCTTTCTACAAACTACCAAGTTCATTAATTTTTTATTAAATTGGTTGTATTAAAGCTTTGTACACATGCTTTTAAAGCACAAGAGAAGTTGCATCTTTGTCAAAAAGATCATTTTAGTCACCACAAAGAGGAAGAAAATTTGAATTAGGGATCACAGGTGTCATACAAATGTGTTGTTTACATTTTTGGGAATGCTACCATAATAATTATGTATTACTTACAAAGCCAGTAGGGAACGTTGTTCAGAGGCGATATTGAGCAAGAATTTCCAATAATAAGTCAAATCCAAAGAATGCTAAGGAAAGTTAGGAAAGGAAAAGAAATGGCAATATCTCAATATATTTCACTTACGTCACAGTTTTCCCAGTGGCAAACAAACTCCTCTGAAGTCTTTGGTAACTGATGCCAGCTACGGCTGCTCCGCAAACACGCTGGCAAATTCTGGTGCAATGCCCATAACTGAGAGCCTATGAACTTCAGTTTGGTGTGGTAACTGTGAAAATTGACATGTGTTACCAGCTTTCTTGGGTCTTTTGCCTCAAATTCACAACTTCTCCACCAACACCGGTGCTGCTCTAAACACAAGAAAGATCTTACAGAACACTGCATGAAATCTGCAACCATGTGCCACAGCAGAGAGAAAGCCAAGAGTACTTATGTTTATAGTAATTCACTATCTGTAAGTAACCTTAGCAGAGAAGCTGGTAATTGCTATCTACCGATAAAGCACTAGATAAGACTTGTAAATTTTGGTAGCAGATTTTCCAATGTCTCACAACTGCAGCAATACTCCAGGGCTTTGTGGCTTAAACCACAACTTTTTGCAGAAAGGCACTTCATAGATTCAGTAGGAAAAAACTGTAAAAATAAGTATTTTCTTAGGTATATGCTATGACACTCTGCAGCTTAGGTCACAGAGGCATTGTTAATGTTGGTCCAATTCTACTTTTTTCACCTTTAATTAAAACTCATTCACCTTTAATTAAAATGTCTACACCTGTAATTACACTTGATTACAGTGTTAAGAATAAAGAGCAGGATACACAGAGCCAAAATAGCTATATTAAAAAGTCTAGTATATTATTGCTATTACATCCACAGGGACTGCCTATAATTTTCTGCAGAATCAGATTTTTTGTTTTGCTTTTAAGTATATTTAATATATTAAAAAGATGTGAAATACACCACCACCACCAGTGTATGTATCTAAGTAAGACGAATACTATACAAACAATAAAAGCTTCCCTTTCCATTTGTCTATAAAGATTCATACAAGGGCTACTTTACGCTTAGACGTCTTAAGCAACAGGCCAGTTCCCTGAAAGGGAATAACTGGCATTCAAAAACAATTTGCTAAGATCTGCTTTAGACACCTGCTGAGGCCCTAATGTTAAGGAAAAAAGAAAAAATCCTCAGCAGAAGTTCTCATGACATCGTGTCTCCAGTCTCCTTCCACATTAGTAATATCTATCAATACAAACAAAAACCCAGGACAATCAGAGATGAAGCAAAAAGCAGGAGTAAGCCCTTGTCTAAGGGCTCCATGCAGCTGGGTCTTAGAAAAGCCAAGGTGCAGGTAAACTGAAGTCAGAATTATTTTCTAGGCTAGGAATAATCTTCCAAGCTG